GGTTGCATGCGCAGCAGAATGTGATCACAGAGTCTAACACCAGCATTTTTAGTGTTGATGAAGCAAATTGCTAGAAACCAGTAAAGTTACTGGTTGGACGTGAAGTTCAGAGACGTCTAGACAATGTTAGCGCTTGTAGGAAGTGAGATGTGACCCGCTTGTGTCCCATACGATCGACTGGCAGCACGGGTTAAAATCACAACAGCTCCATTCACACAAGTTATATCAGTTCCAGATGTTTGTCATCAAAACGTACCAGACATGAGATTTTTCAGCCATTAACAGCTGATATTTGTTCCCCTGCTGTCATTTTACAACGTGACAGGCCCTGACCGTGAATTGAGGTGCATTTTTCATCAGTTACTTATTGATTTTTTTCAAAAACAATTTCATCACATGCCCAACAGTGTCGCAAGAGAAACAAATTAACTTGAAGAAAAATTACAAAAACAAACAAATATGTCCAAATGTAAAGGCTGAATAGCCTTAGTAGTAGACTTTAGTATAAGTGTGAATTTGATGTTTGTTCAAGAGACACAGAGATTTCAGCAATTTATCAAATTGATTGTTTTTAAAATACTTGTATCACATTCACTTTTTGGAGCCTTGGCTCTGTTTGGGGCAAATCAACCTGGGACATTATTGGGTTTTTAAAAGTAATGTAGGAATGAAAATTATTTTGAAGTGATATTGTCAATTGATTTTCCACCTTTTATCTAATTATAATCAAAGCCATAAACCAAATACAGCTGATAGAAGCACAAGAACTAAACTTGGATTGTTTTAGTCACTGTGGTTTGGAAATACATCTCTCAAAACTAATTTCCAAATGCAGATGATTCACAACAATTAGAAACACAAAGCACAAACGAATTGTTCACTGTTGTAGTCGCTGTTGATGAAATACAGAGTCTGTTGCTCGTATAGTTGGTCTGGGATCGTAGCTGAAGTGACCTGTAAACTGTAACGTCATTACTTATCTGTTGCTGTGCTTGGTGTGTGTGAGTGAGTGTATGTGTGTGTCACTGTGTGTGTGGTCACGTTGACCTGAACACTGTATGAAGGGCTGTGCGGGGGCGTTGTTGCTTGTGTGCTCACAGAAAATAAGAAAAGGCCGTTTCAGGTTGAAAACGGGTCAATTTGACCCAAACAACACATTAGGGTTAATGTATTTACATACACACTCAGCTGGTAGTTTGTTATGAACACCTAGCTTAAAGTAATGGTGTCCAATGCAACAGTGCAGCAGTGAATGTGACCTTCATGCAGGTTTTAATGTTCAGTTTTTATTGAATCTGTTGTAGACGATGTTGATTCAACTGAATGATCATTTTAGAGGATGTAGTTTGTGGTGTTGCTGAATTGTTAATTGAATTTTAATAAGATGTTTTTGTCATTTAGCCTCATTGATATAAATGGGATGGGCACAAATAATAGAAACACCTGTTTATATAATGAAATACAGTTCAACAACATCACAAACTGCAGCCTCCAAAATGACCATGAAGTGTCATGAAGGTATGATTGGTGTACTGTGGTGTATTTTCTGTACCAAAACATCATAACTCTCCCGATTGATAAGGAAATTTAGACAGAAAATGAACCTGAATGAACTCAAAGAGAAGGAAAATTAGAAAAAGGTTCAATCTGCCCCAAAAGCTCAGGTGTTAATAATGAAATTAATGATGACTTCAATTTACCTGCTACCTTCAGGGTCCTGGTATCATGCATGTTGACTCACAGTCATCGACTTCCTAGTAACACCTGCCCCTGTTCATGGGACATGTGTTGGTCACTGGTAGGCCAGTGTGTGTCACATGACTTAGTCTTGACTGTGGTTCCTGGTGGTAGACCCATTCAGACTGTGTGTTTCCTGCTCTGTTTGAACAGCCACTCCGCAGCCTCCTCAACATCTGTCCCAGCTGCCCGGCTCAGATCAGGAGCTGTCCATGGTGCTGAACCTGAAACGCCCCATTGCCACAACTGACATATGAAGCCCTTCAGAAACACACAGTGTAGTAAAGATCATTAGACAAGGGAGGCAGAGAAAACAATACAGAGCCCTTTGTCACAAGCTATGAGCCATTACAAGCCATTAGAAAAGCAGGCAGCCTCTAAGTAGCTGTTGCCATGTAAAGATTTATATGTATAATGTATAGCTGTATGTCAAAAACTATCCAATTACTTATTGCTCAGCTGTCTGGCAATCAACAGGTATCACTGAAGGAAAGACTGGTGCTATTTTATTTCCATATTTTAGCGGGACAGTTTTGTTTATGGGATCGGTTGATTCAAAATAAAAAAGGATGAATGCCCTGATGGCTTAATGGTTAAGACATGGATCGTAAAATTTCATTGTCCTCAGCCTCTTTGTCTCTCTCCCTATGTTTCCTGTCTGTGTCTACAGCGACTTCCCGTTAAAGGAAATAAATAATGCCCGTTATTATCCTTTTAAAGGATTGTTCTTTAAAGCTGCATTAATCATAATTTTGCCCAGCAGGGGGCAGATGAACTACAAAGAAAACATAGCCTGAGCTATAACAGCCTTATAATGTTTTTGTTTTAATATTCTGCTGACACTGAGCAATATTAAAATCTAGCTGGAGGCCCTTTTATAACCACCTGACAAATGTAAGTTTAATATTCATGTTTCTTTTAGCTATGTTTTGGCGTCGATCAACTGAGTTGTGGTAGTGTATGTAGTGTATTGTGGTAAGAGACAGTGGTGAGACCAAAGTCAGACAGTCAATGTGCCATAAAACCAAAACAAGGAGCTAATTAGCTCCATGGAGCTGCAGAGTTCAAGCTGATTAATGCAACTGTATCACTCTAAAAATACCATGTGTGATTTTGGTGACAGTTCTTCAGGAATGATGTACTTGAATTTGGAAGATGCCTCTAATGGTTATCAAAATCTAATCTAACAGCTAGTTACTCCACCTTAGGCCAACCCCATGTTAATTTGAAAAATGGAACACACAGGAAGTGGTTCCTACAAATTAAATGCAGAAGAGAACAGCTGGAGGTGCGTCTGAGAAAACCTCACATGCAGAAAATGTCTAGTTTGGTAGGACTTGTGATTCTTATTTAAAATGAGATAAAAGCTGTTACTCACAGACTTTCTCATGTATTACTCTGTTTTAGTTTATTACGACCTGTGGCTCGGTCTTATTGTTGGAAGTGATTTTATAGAGCAACAACATCGACATAGGGAGGATGGGTCAACGGAAAGTTGGACTTTTCCCACTTCAGACCAATAGTTGGTGGTGTTTCTTTTTTCCATGACCGTTCCCCAACCTTTACCATGTGTTTACTGTAACCATGACAACAAAGGTCCCTCTGCCACCAGTACACTCCTAAAGGTCATATCAGAGGGTAGGGATAAATTACCTACATGGTTGTTAAGGTTGGAGGACCTCTTGCGACTAACTAAGGTGTTACACATCAGAAAGACCACCTGTGTGCAGACAGTGTCCATTAACTGTGCCGAACAAACCACTGAAGAGACAGAGCGCTGGGTCTTCAAAGTGTAAATGTCTTTACTATGTTCTGTTAATTAGCTCTCAGACTACTCATTACTGAAAGACTCTTTCCTGTATACCTGTCCAGAAAGTATTTGTGTATGTGCCCGGAGACTGCAGTTTCAGGATTTTCAGGACTGCATTTCTAGTTTTTCGGGACACTGGCAGAAACCAAGTTTGGTCTAAAACATATGTGTAGAACAATGCTAACCCTACTCCTACCCTTAACCAATTCACTGGGTGTCGCTGTAGCAACTAGAAATGTTGGGGGTCTTAGGACTGCAGTCCTGAGAGTCTTGAGACCGCAGTCTCCGGTACTACAGAAACATATTACTGGGCTAACTGCAGTACTTGTGTTGGCAAATGGCTAAATGTTAGCCTTTACTCATTAGCACTATAGCTACTTAGTCCTTGCTATTATACCCAGTTTATTCTGAGGTGCACCACCTCCAATTCAAACCCAAGAAGATTTTATACATAACTTTCATCTTAGAATCCAGCGAAGAACGAGTTTTATTCATAAATAAAACGTATACATATTTTTATATATAAAAATACTGTAACACTTTTAGGGAGTGGATGCGGCCCACGAAGGTGTGGCCCTTCGTCATAACTTTCTTGTTACAAAATAATGAGGTTTTAAGTCTCTTGTACTGTTAGCTGTTGAACTGAGCTGAAACCCAACACTTACATTTAACAGTGTAATCCTCAGGCTCTCTGTCAGTGTTGTTGACTGCCATATTATTTTCATTACCAGTGCGCAATGAATCTTGGGATATGTTGGACCATGAAGGATGATCCGTGTACGTGGCGGCCATCGAATTTTCGTTTTGAAATCAGAAAAAAAAACATAATCGGAAACAGCTTGTTTCTAGAATAACATTTGAAAATGACTAAACGAGCCGGTATCTGTTTTTTCTTTATGTGAATGAAAATCATCTTTGTAAATTTTGTGTAGATTTTTTTTGGTGTGACTTGGAAGCTATGGGAAACACACAGTGTACTAACCAACATTAGTGCTCCTGCTAACACAGAATCAAGAAAAAATATTTGCTGGAATTTGAAAATCTCAGACTGATAACTGATAGCTTTTAGGCAAGGCAGATTTATTTTTTATAGCACATAATCATACACAGAGGCCATTTAATGTGCTTAACAGAAATAAATGAAGCATGAAAACAGAAGAGAAAAAAAGCATAATAAGAAAACAGTAGAAAAACAAATTATAAAATAGATAATATCTCATTAAAGTACAAGATTAAAAGATTAATAGCCAGATAATAATGCCAGCTTTGTACTTTTGCTATTTTTTCTGTTTCACTACACAATGAAATTGACAAATAATAATAAACCTGATTGTGTTTGTGTTTGTGTTTGTTTGTTGGGGAGGGGGGTGGGGTTGGGAAAGGGGCGTGGAATAAGCCAACATCACAGGCTAATGCAGCTTCCCACCATGCCATCAATCTCCGTCTGTGGAGCGTCTGACCGTCACCCGGGTTGCTTTCATCCGTCCTGTCACCCGAAGGACTCCGCGTCGGACCGGCTGGGTCGGATCTCTGGGCCTCTCCAGTAGCGGGATGAAAGCGACGTGGTGATTAAAAGGAGCATCTCCTCCCCGTCTCTCTCTTCTCCAGAAGCGGACCCCGGCTTTATTCTCCTACCGGCGGAGACATGAGGAACCCACTGGCCGATTTAGCCCTGACATTCTGGCTATTTCTAGAGGTGAGCGGCGCCGGACGGTAAAACACGGAGCGACGTGTTATTATAGGTGTGATAGACACGCTGCTGTTTCCGTAGTGTTTCCCTTTTGAGTGTATTTGTCATGTAGAGACGGTACATGGTTGTGTCGGGGCTGGTCGCTCTGCACAGCAGCCTGCCGGTGATACGTGCCGCTCGGGATGTTTTCCAAAGCGAAACTGCATTTAAAACTGACATAATTCAATATTAACTCAGTTGGCGCCAAAACCACACACACCACAGAGGACAAATGTGAATATTTATAAAATATATGGCATCTTCTGTTAACTTCGGCATGCAAGTGATCCACTAAGAAACACTGCACGGCGGTGAAATCTTAACTTCTACATCGGCTGCTGCTGCTGCTGCCGCCGGCTCGGCTGTGATGTAAGTCCCTGCATAGAACATGAGAACAAAAACAGAAATGTCAAAAGGGGTAGAGCAGCTGGGAGAGCGTGCATGTGCATGAGGATACTGCAGTTTCATTTCATTGTGTTTGGTGAGTGCAACAGAGGACGGAGGTGGGCGAGCGCAGAGAGTTTACCTGTGATCCTGTCATCCCTTTGTCTTTGTGCCCAGACCCCATAACCACTCACTGGGTTACTGGGCCTGTAGGACACACACACACACACACACACACACACACTCTCACTCTCTCATTACTGTTGTACAGTAGGCAGGAGGCTGAATCCAACTGCAGCCAATGATATTCAGATTTCCTTTGTCTCCTAATATCTTATACAGATGTTTCATACCTACATACCTTTATACTTTTTGTGAAATCATGTGGCTCCAAAGGTTTCCTCTGTTCTCTCTTGACATTTCAAAATGAGTGTAATTTTTTTGGTGGGAGGGGTTTAATTGTCATTTGAGGAGGATGAGGAGACAACAATGGGCTCAAATATTATTCTTATAGGTCCCTGAAGGTAACACGATGTGGTCACATTCCCCGCTCTTTCTGCCAGTCCAGTACCGCGAACACTCATGTCTGTCCATGTATTATTTACTCCCGTCATTATTATTTTATTTCATTCAGCTGACTTGGAGAGCACATCCATTTTGAATGTGAGCCGGCAGCCTGGAGGGAGTCAAGCCCTTAGACCTTGTGCTGGTGCTGCCTTGTTCACTTTGATAAGTGGTTCTGACGGCCCGCGCCTCTGAATTGACGCCTCTGACGTCTCGGTTCATTTTCAGGAGCTCTGACTGACAAAAGTGCGACTCTTTTTTTATGCTTCTTGTGGTGGAAAAGCCTCTGTGGCATTCGAACAGATGATGTTGATTTATACAGGTTTAAAAGCTAATCTGGTGTGTGTTTCGTGTGAGCAAAGGTCTTGTGGAGACAGATTGTAAGTACATTAAAGTCAGATTTATGTCTCCACCTCTGGCAGATTTAGATTCATATCATTATAATTAAATGTCGAGCTTCGGAGCTGCTACACGTTTTCAATTTTCTAATTTCCAGGATAGTAAGAGTTGTGTTTTCACAGCTTTCCAACTGCACTCAGGTGATCCGTACTACTACACATACTGGGTTAAGTGGACTCGTGGGCTCACGAAGGTTTCTCTCATCCACAGCAGTAATATGACAGTGGTTCCCAGCTACGCTAGGCTTATTTTTACCTGAGAATTGCTGAAGAGATGACCGTGTGATGGAGAGAAAAATATCCCTGGTTTAATATCCGGAGGAGGTAGGATCTCAATGCAGAGCAGCCAGTCATAACTTTGGATTTTAGCAGAGCGCCTGGATATCTTTAGAGTGTTATAGTATGTGCAGTATTCTCCCAGGTGTACTGAGTGACATGTTCTCTTATTTATTTATTTATTTATTATAAAGTTATTCAGATAGTGGAGTGAGAGACAGACAGGAAAGTCAGGGAGAGAGAGAGAGGGGATGACGTACCTAAAGGCCACAGGTCGGACACAGGACAGTGTTCAGGGCCAGTTGCACCATAGTGAGTCCTGCCGGTCGGAGTGGTTGGATAGTGTGAACCTTGATTGGGAATCAGGAAGATAATGCATGTGCCAATTCCCACACATACACAGTAGTATATTAAAAATGTGAGTGTTCATGTTTCTGTATCTGTGCGAGGCAGCACGTCAAGTCTGCAGCGGGTTAACAGACAGTGTGACGGGGACCACCGATATTCCAAGCTGTAATATTTTTCTGCATTAAAACACTATTGTGAGATCTGAGCCAATGTGATAATTAGAGACTGCGGAGCTGCTCAGGTGGAGTGCGACCTGATGCCAGAGGACAGACTGTGTTTCTGTCTGAATTAAGCAGGTTTACTCTCTGTACTGTGGTCAGTGAATTTTTTTGAATTATAAAACCTTCAACGGGCTTCAAAAAGATATCTGTGTGACTAAGGGTGGATTTATTCGGTATAAGATAATCAATTGGTTTTATTTTACTCCTGATCTCCACAGGATGCGTTTACTGACCAATACTTTATGCTGGAAATGTCAGACAGAAGTGAGAGTTTAAACTTGTTTAGCCATCTTGGGAAAAGTACTGGAACACATAGAGAGGTGGGTTTGATGGAACCTGTATCAATGAGACTCATTGACGGACCAAACAGAGTTGCCCAACGTATCAAAACATGACTTTACGTTGTACTCGACGTCAAACCGAGCTGAGTGGAAACGTGGTGCAGTTACCTCGGAGAAGGTGCACCAGGTGTATTATGGCTGTTAGTGTGACACTCTGCCGTCTGCTGTGTCACACCAGAGGAGCTGATTGGCCAATATTTCAATAATTGTCTATTTGAAGAGTGTCCTACAAGGCTCCTGCACGACAGCTACATGTAAACAGGAAGACGTTGATTGAAGTGTTCCCTTCTTGTATCGACATAGTTTCTTTTAACCAAGACAACGATCGAGCTACAACCCACGTGTTTATTATTGTAACCATGACGACGGTCCTCTGAGAGTGCTTATTTTAAACAAAGTCATGACCTTTCCCTGTATGGAGGACTGAAACTGCCAAAAAGAATTAAAAAAAACATAAACATAAATCCATAAATAACTTAATATGCCATTAAATGCACCAAGAATAATATAAAAAATAAATAGGCATTAATAAAGTAATAAAATGTGACAATTAAGTACTGTAAAATTTCAAATAAACTGATTTCTGTTTTCATTTGGTTTTTTACCTTTTGTATTACTTCCCCTATTTATTTATTTACTCTCCCATTTAAATGTCCATTTTAGTTATTTATTTATTTATTGCCCTTTGTAGCCCCACCCCCCAATCATTTCCCGCAAACGTAGTTATTTATTTTCATTTTATCATTTATTTCATTATTATTATTTTTATTTAATGGCATATTAAATTACTTATTACTTATTTTTTATTTTGCCAGTTTCAGTCCTCCAAACAAAACTTATATGACTGTAAGATCGTAAAACAATATTTTTTACAGTGATGTTGAACATTTATCTTTACGAGTCAGTCTTACCTGTCTGAGGTCTGGACTGCACTACTCACTGATGCTGTGAATCATATAAGTTCTGATTAAAACTGCAGCTTCTGTGATGTCGACGTGGCTTTTTGAGTTAAATACAGAATGTGGGAGGGATGTATTAAACCTAAATGTCATTAGATCACTATAATCAAAACTCTGAACAGCCACTGTGCAGAAGGAGCGTTTGATTTGTGGATAACTTCACAATGTGAAGTGTTGCAGTCAAACAAATAATGAACTCTGTGTGTGTTTAGAGAGTCAGCTGTTGTATATGACATGAATAGAGCATCAAGTACATGGGCTTAAGATTCATTGGCATCATGAAAGGATTACCATGGTAACCTCTTTATGTGACGGCTATGAATAATGGTTAATGGGTATGATTTTCACTCTGAATAGTTGAATAGCAGTTGAATAGAAAAGCTCTGTAGTGTTGATCTTCTGTGTGACGGGCGCAGTTTGTCATGTGGGTGTAAATAATGTGAATCTTCAACATCAGCTTTAAGTTACCTCTCAATGATGGACTGTGGCAGATGTCAGACATCCATCTGGTTTTCAGGGACATATCATTTAATCATCAGTGGTTATTATCAACTGTAAAATTATAATTATGGTGATTAAAGAGACATGGGATCAGATGGTTGCTGTTTTTGGACATTTTGGAATTTGTGCATCAGACTTTAATTTTCCTAAACAAACAAACAAACAAACAAACATTTGACCAGTGTGGTAGAAGCTTCAGAAACTGTTTCCATGCTGTTGTGTAATACCCCATTTCAGACAGATGTTGGATTAATTTTAGAGGCTTTTTGCCTTTTTTGTGTTGCAGGACACTTTGCAGGATAATTATGAAAGCTCAGTTTGAAATATCTCATGTTACATAATGTCACACAACTGAGCGCCAGGGTTAGGAGAAATTTTACGTCCATTACTGTCCCCGAGGGACTAGGAGACTGGACATTACAGTAACATCTGCAACTCCTCTCTGATTAACCTTTGTGGTTCAGTTATATCCTGTGTTCTGGTCTGCTTTGGTGGTCTCTGATTGTGTCATAGTTTTTGGAAATGCTCCTGTTTTAGCAAAGCAATACATTAGCGTAACATTAGTCATTTTAGGTGTGAACTGTGTTATGCTAATTGATACAAAAGACTTGAAGCTGAAGTATACAAGAGAAAATTTTAAAAAAAAAAAGTGATGGAGGCTAGCAAAAAAAGTTGACTTTATATGCAGCAGATAATCCGCTGTTTGCATATTTAAAGCTCCATATTTTACACCGATGTTTAATTTGAAGTGTTGATCCAGAAGAAGATGTATTTGTGGTTTTAAGAGCCAAAAAACATCTCAGTGTAGTTTTACATCTCCTCTCTCAGGCTTCTCTCTGGAGCTCTAGTAACAACAGGTCTGTGAGCCAATCAGAAGAGAGGAGGCTCTGAGCCTCTCTTCTGATTGGCTGACTGTTTTCTGAGTGATCCAATAAAAATATAGCAGATTTCAGGTAAAAACACTCAGAGAAACCA